GGCTACGCTCAGAATCTTCTGTCAGCAGCAATCAGAATCTTCTAATGTATGCATCTGGCGCTACAAATTCTAGCTAGTTTCTTGTATTCAATTCTGATTTGCTTCTGGAGTGTTAATTTCTTTACTATCTGCAGTAAAAACTTCTCAAGCAAATTTTAGAGTATATAATTCTTAAATACAAAATTTCCTAATAGTTATCATCAAAACATAAAGATATTATTAAGAACTAATCTGTGTTCTAACAGAAACAATACATGACAAAATGTTAGGAATGATTTAGATGAAATTGATTTGAGAACCTAACATATATACACCAATTAATTACCATTGGCACCTCATACTTCATGACTCAATAATTTGATTTCAATATTTTTCTTCTTTGATCTTTCTTATAAAATAAGTTTTTGCCTTCATCAAAACTAAGTTATGATAGATGATGAACATCTTCTTCATATGTACGAGGAAGAAAGCACTGAACCAATATATATATCTATGTACTATCTGTCTCCCTTATCTCTCTTTAATTTTATGTATTCACTATATAATTGTTACATCATAACATCATTTATATGTCATCTAGGTTAGCTCATGCATATGGCAGTTTCTTGTGTAAGCATAAGTATGTGTTGCATCAACCCTAATGAATCTTCTTTAAGTCAATTATGATGAAACACATGTTTATGTTGAGATATTAAATTGATTGAATTAGGCCGCTTGAATTATCCTATTGTGTTTATGTCCTTGGAAATATCATGAGATTAGTCACACCATTGAAATATATTGGTTAGAAATTCTCTTGATGAGCTTTTATGCTTCCATCTTATTTTGTTTTTTATTCCACCCATAAATCTCTGATTTTGTTTGAAAAAGTTTTTGAAGCTTTTTTAAAAGGGAATCAGTTTATTCAACCTCCATTTTATAGACAATTTTTTCTCATTTATATCCTCAATAAATGTTGTAAGGGGGTTTGAGAGAGTTCAACCTACTAAAATCTCTTAAGATTTACTAGATACTCTTAAGAAGAAATCTTAGGGAGAGGATTAGGTCTTTTCTTGTTTACCGAACCTCTATAATTTCTGGTGTTATCTCTCTATCGCTTAACTCTTTATTTTCCACATTTTATTTACCGCATTATTAACTTTCTCCGCTAATTTAGAAAACATTTTAAAAATGATTTCAAACTAAAAATATTTATAAAAGTTTTTCAAATAATAATGTGTCTAGAACCCATAATTCACCCCCATCTCTTGTGTGTGGAGTCACATGTCCAACAATAGTTGTTAAATCGGAAAGTTTTAAGGCCCCAAACTAATTAGAAACATCATTAGGAAGATCCCACTAGGAAACTATCCCTCACACCTTCCACCATATAAATAGGCTAAAACCAAGTGAATTTCCTACCCTTTCAGAATGAACTATTAAATTCAACACAGACCGCATTACCAATCCAACAATCAAAATTGTCAACTACAACCCTTTCAGAAGGAGAACAAATAGAGTTAAAATTGCCCAAGACACACCATACTTCCCCACCTAGCGTAGCCCTCCTCGTGAGAAGATCCATTCATAAGGACCTCTTATCTCTAAGGCTACACATGGATTAAATATTAACCATATATCATTTGATCTTAGATAGCTCCTTTCAAGACAAACACCAAGATGCCCAGGCCCAACAAAATAGAAAAGAGAAGACATCTTCGAGATTCACCAAACAAAAAGGAGTCCACCATTATTACCATTAGACGAGGAAAAAATCCAATCACAGAAAGGGTTCCCCCAAAGAGACTGAACAAGAGAATCAGAAACATCACTAAGTTTAGTCTCATGTATCGTAAGGAAATACAAAGACTTAAAAACAATGATATATTTCACCTTATTCTTCTTAATCCTACTCCTTAACCCACAAACATTAAGGGAACCAATCAACATAGAAAACAACTCCTAGATAATCTAGCCGATCTCAACTACATATCTTTTTCTCTAGCTCCACTAATCTCTAAATCTTAGCCTTATCTCTTAGGTAAAAAGTACAGCCTAAATATTTTGTAATCTTAAACACCCTGGGCGCCTTCTTTCTAACTAAGGATTTAAAAAACTCAAAAGATAAGGGAATATGTCGTAAGTGACATGGCACATGTGGAAAAGAACCATCATCTAAGCATATGGGAAAGTTAAGCACCTGCGAACTCAAGCCTTCCTCGGGAGGAGGCTAGAGGATGATATCCTGCATATAAAAACCAATAGAAGTTAGAGAACTAGCAGTACCTGAAACCAGCAATAAAGTGGGGAGGTTTGTAGATTGGTGCTATAATGTCAGTCCAAAACTAGAGTCTGGCGACCACCTATCAATTGGATATATTGCAATTTATTACTCTATACAAGCATCCTTGATCTCGAAATCCATGCTTCTACAGTGGGGAGAGGATGAAGAATCCAACTGAGCAAAAGAATCCACCTGAATAGGAGAAGAGACCAACACTTGTACCGAATATAGTGAAGGAGAAAACCCACTAACTAGATCCAATCAAGCCCAACCAAAGGGTGGAACAACTTTTGATTAACTTCCAAAGAAGGCCCATTAAACCCACCAATATCCAGATAATTAGATGAATCCATTACAAAATTATTGGAGAAAAATAACTTTTGAGGGGTATGAATTGGGAATGAGTGATGTGTAATACACTAGGCATAATTGGACTGCCCTCAACTCAACCCAAAAGAGGACCACAAGAGAGGGATTTTGAGACTGGGCCCGCGTCTGAACCTTATCCATATCCTTGCTAAGGAACCCACATCCATATTTTACCTAATTTTTATGCATTTCTTTGATTATTAGTCCAATTTTTCACATCCGTATTTAACGTACTCTTTAGATTAGCTACATAACTCATAGCTAAAGAACAAAGTTCCTTCCTCAATACATTCGTTTGAAGAAAAAGGTAGTTATTATTGAGAGTCATCAGTTGAATCTTGATTAAGCTTGTACTATTCGACAATAAAATGTAAAAAAATATTAGAATTGAAATGTCAACAAGAATTTAACTTATTTAAATGTTAAAAATTGCATAAAATTAAATAAAATTTAAAAACGAAAAAACGTTTTACTTAATATTTTGAAAAACTTGAATTTGTTTCTAGTTTACTAAGTATATTTCAGAAAATTAAGTAATAAACTTTTACTCCTTTGCTGAGAACTATTTATAGATAAATTAAATTTACATGTCACAATAGTAGTCATGTTATCATTATATGGATTTATAGCAAACTATATGGTGGCCTTTAACTCTTACTTTGTCAATTTCTGGTCAACTATTTTTAAGTGAATAAATGAGATATCACATATTCGAATCCGTGATCAGATATATGATACCATTAGATAATTATCTATTGAATTGGTTTAATGCGAATATTTCTATCAAAATATCGAGAAAATTTGTTTACTTTTTCAACACGTTGTATATAGAAGTAACCTTGATTCATATGTCTTAATAAATGCTACTTTATAGAGCTTTGTACAACAGAGTTAAAAGCTGCTCAGATTGTGCATATCTCTGCCCTAAATTAAATATACATCAGGTCTACCTCTGGTAGTTAACTGATTTTTTATGTACTTGCCACGTTTTGAAATACAATATACCAAATTGCCACTATCTAAAAATTAAGTACCAGAGTGTCACTATTTTATCTAGGGTGCGGGCAATGGTTGGACGACCTTTTGAAGCATTTTTTGGACTAGCTTGAGTTCGGGCCGAACCTATGAAGAGCTTCCTTTTTTTATAATGTTTTTAAATATATTTATATAAGTTTTATTATATTTTGATTTATTTAATTGATTTTTTAAAAATTAAGAATTAATTTTATGTTTTAAAATATTAATAAATAAATATTTTAATTATTTTTATATTATGTTTTAAAATATTAGTAAATAAATATTCTAATATGTGATATAACATTTAATTAATTAAGCATCTAATTATTTAATATAATTTTTTTTATTAAATAAAATGTAACAATAAGCAGTTTTATTAATATTATTGAGTGAAAAAAATACATCATTTTTATCTACGTAAACGACCGCCGGTTCCACACATTTTACTTCTTTTTACGCGCAACCCCCCTGCCCAAGTCTTGGGTTTGGCGTCTTGGAGGAGATGAAGTGGAGTCGGAAGACAACTCTTCATCTTCAGCTACACCCTCATCTTCATCTATATCTTTATGTTAATATGATATGTCGACCATATCCACATCAGTAATTGAAAAACCTGGCCAATCCATGAGCTGGTCATCAGTTAGGGAAAAGTTGGAGACTGACTGAGAGGGTTGATTGAAGGTGTTTGGAGGGGTTTGTTGGATGGGAGGGTAATAAACATCGTCAATACGGTAGGTAGAAGTGAGTTGAGAGAGTGAAGGGTTAAATGTTTATTGTTGTGATTAGGGGTAAGAGAAATCAAAGTTAGGTATAGGAATTAGAGTGAATTGGAAGGATGGTCGAAGTGTCATTTGTTGCTGGTATTCTTGATGGTAGTAGAAGTTAGCTTGAGGTGTTGGGGTGTATGGTGTTGGTCGTTGAGAGGAGGTGGTAAAGAATGTGTGTTGTTGTGTGGTATGGGTGTGTTGATATATTGGTTGGGGTTGTGCGGGTTAGGGGTGATGGTATGTGCTTTGGGGGAACGAAGATGTCTGGGATTGAAATTGTGAAGGGTTCATCTGGAGTCTTCTCAACCTATCTCTATTTTTGAAAACCACATGCCAAACTATATTGGTGACAACTTGAAAGTAGGGATGGTGTTTGAAAATAAGGAAACATGTGTTCTTTTTTTGCAACATTGGCATATAAGTAACAATCTTGACCATGGAGTATATAAATCTGATTTAGTAAGATATATAATAAATGTAAGAACCCACAGTGCATATTCACATGTAGAGCTGTATTGCGTAAAAATAACTCAATATGGGAGATCGCTACTATAAACGGATCCCACACTTGCACAACGACTACAATGTTACAGGATCATAGAAAATTAGATTCGGCAATTATTAGCCATAACATCAAGGAACTTGTTAACAGCGATGCCTCACTAAAAGTTAATGTCATACAAGCCCATATTGCCGAAAAATACGGTTACATGATCTCATACAAGAAAGCTTGGATTGCAAAGATTAAGGCAATAAAATCACTTTATGAGAATTGGGAGACGTCTTAGAATGACTTACCAAAATGGTTGTTGGTGATGAGGACCTATCGTCTTGGAACTGTTATACGGTTGGAAACAAATGTCAGTAATTACAGACAACGAAACCCAATTGGGCGACAAAAGAAAATTTCACGTCTTTTTTTGGCGTTTCAACCGTGTATCCGTGATTTTACTTATTATAAACTTATTATGCAAATTGATGGAACATGGTTGTATGGAAAGTACAAAGGGACTTTGTTGATGGTTGTGGCACAAGATGGAAATGGTAACATTTTTCCGATAGCATTCACATTAGTTGAAGGTAAGACAAATGATGGTTGGAATTTCTTTCTCAGGAATTTGAGAATGAATGTGAGCCCCAAGCCAATTTGTGTCTCATATCTGATCGACATCCATCAATCAAGAGTGCTTACGATGATCCTGAATATGGATGGCAAAATCCTTCGTCTTCACACGTTTACTGTATCAGACACATTGCACAAAACTTCATGCGTGAGTTTAAAGACAAAGAACTACGAAAAACACTTGTCAACATGGGTAAGCCTACATCTTCACATGTTTATAGTTACAATAAATACTTATTGAGTAATTGATTTTTAAATGTTTTACTGAACATTTTACTACAGGATATGCGTTGATGGAGGCAACATTTAACTACTGCCGAGGCGAAATATGAAGAACAAATGAGCAACTTTGGAGTGGATAGAAAGTATTCCCTGAGAGAAGTGGGCGAGGGCGTTTGACGGAGGACAACGATGGAGACACATGACAACAAATCTGACCGAAGCAATGGACTCGGTACTAAAGGCTACCCAGAACCTTCCTATTACTGCAATGGTTACATCTACATACTATCGTCTGGGATCGCTGTTTGGAAAATGAGGACATGATTGGACAAAAATATTGGCATCCGGTCAACCTTTCACGGATAACTGTAATAAGAGAATGTCTGACGAAGCGAGTAAGTCTAGCAGCCATAATGTCATCCAATTCGATCGCGAGAGATTCTATTTTATGGTTGCCGAAAGGATTAATCAAAATGATGGCCCACCATTAGGTATTTTTAACGTTGATCTCAGGAGAGAGTGGTGCGATTGTGGGAGATTTCAAGCATTTCATTTACCTTGCTCCCATGTAATCACAACATGTGCTAGTATATGGCAGGACCACAACATGCACATACCAGATATTTTCAAAGTTCTGAGTGTATTCAAAGTCTACAAGAAAAGCTTCCTTGGACTTCCACACCACGAAAATTGGCCAACATATGAAAGATTTACTCTTTGTCATGATGAGACAATGCGAAGGAATAAGAAAGGACGTCCAAATAGTACAAGAATTAGAACCAAAATGAACGATCTTGAGAAAGAAAAGAGAAGATGTGGGATTTGTCGAGAAATTGGTCATATGCGTAGAAAATGTCCAAATGTAGCAGACCCGTCTAAATTAATTGATTTATTTTTTTGATTTAACTTTCAATTAATATAACTTTACTTTTGTGGGATTTCAATTAATATAACTTTCAATTAATATAAATCTCATTTGTCTCATACAACTTTCACTCAACATTTGACAATATCAAAATAAATAAATCGCACCCAAACAAACAACCGTTAATGATTAAAACGATTTAAAATCTAAATGCAACTAGGCTATTACAACCATAAGGACAATATCTGTTTGTCCATACATCATCATAACACAATCATAATCGTTTTTTACATTTTTTCAGGCCTTCCCATTTCCATCTTTAACAAGCCTTTCAATTCTTTTAATCTTTTCACCTTCAGCAATTTCTCCTTCTAACCATCTGACCAGACTTCTCTGAAAGTGCTCGAACGTTACTGTGTTCCACTGTCAGCTCTTCAACGATGGCTATATTGGAGAAAAAACCAGTAGAACATCTCTTTTAGTGAGAGGAGTATTTGGATCAGTAAAATAATCCATTGTTTTTGAAAATTTTCAAATTGAAATGAAGAAATGGATGTACATGATGTGAGATCTAGAGGTACCCAAACAATGCTATATATAAAAAAATTAAAAATAATAAAATATTCCTTGTTCGGCCAATGGATGGCCGAGCTCAGCTAATGAATGATAAAAAAATTATTAATGTGCAATTGATGATAATATATTATATTTTAAATTAAAACGGTATTAATTGACATTTCTTATAAAAAATAATTTTAAAAAAGTATAAATAATTTATTTTATTATCATACTATTTTTTAATATTATTATATTATTTAAATCATTTTTAAATAATTCACACAATTTTTATTATTCATTATATTATAATATAATTAAAATAACTTTTTTATATTTTAAAACATAAAAAAAAATTTTAAAAAATAACTCTTCAATGGTTCGGCCAATCATTAATAGAACTGTCCAAAAAAAATCTTTAATAAGTCATTCAACTATTGGTCGAACCAAAAGAGAAAGTTTGACAAGTAATTTTTTTTTAAATGGTGGTATTTAGTGTTATATATTTCAAACAGTGGCAAGAGGATAAAAAAATCAGGGAACTACTCACTTTATGAATATGAAGTTTGAACATTCAAACACATAGTATTGAATACACAAACCAAACAAAATTAACTCACGTTTCAAATAGTGTTTCCCTCTTACAAGTAGGGACCAATAAAAGTAAAAAAAGAAACACGATAAGATTGAATAAAAGTGGACCAATCTATCGTAGAGTGCTCAGAATGTGTTTTCATATCTTTTTGTTTTGTGTTTTTTTGTTGGCTTGACTAGAAATTTTGGTGTTTGATTTTTCAATTCCAAACACGCCATGTGTTCATTGAAAAGTCAAACCAGTAAATATGAATACGTGTCGACCTTGTGAGTTTCACGATAAATAAGTATACTGACATGTAGTTAGCATTTTTAACTTTTTTTTATTTTTTTTTTATTTTTAATATTATACTATATACAAATGCAATGGATGAGTATATATCTTGCAACTCAGGAACGTGAAAATGATTTCTTTAAGTTTACGGCATCACACTGCAAATCTGGAGAATTCCAACTTGTCGATGGGAATTGTCTCTCAATCAAGATATACCAGAAGGAGCATACAGAGAAAGAATCCAAAATTGCAAGATTAATTTACGTGGGAATTTGATCAATAGTAAAGGCATCAAAATTTCGTGAAAAATTCGTAAAATTATAGAGTCTAATCACTAACTGGATTTTAACTATTTTGAACTCTTTATTCAAATTAAGGGAGGATCTCTACAAAATTGGAAGCGTGGGAATATATTAAGCATTTTCTTAAGCGTATGTCTGCATTGATATCATATTTTATGCCTAAAAGTTTAAAATATTACATATGTTCAAGTGTGGTTGAGGATGCATGGTCTATCCTAAAAATATTGGGAACAAACTACTTTATTTGCAATTGTTTATAACATTGACACTCCTTTATAATTTAATAAGTTTGCATTAAAAATAACTTAGAAGTATTTTGTGCTTGTCTAGGTAGACCTTAACATGTCGGATACTCTCTATGATTGTATTTTAGTGGAACAAGAGGGTTATGTGTTCTTTGTTAAATTAAAATAGGAGAATTTATCTCTTTTTGTGATCATTGTTTGTGTTGGTCATAATATTAATAAATGTTGAAATTTGAAAGGCAAGAATGTTGAAAAGCCTCTAATTAAATAACCTAGATACACGTCTAAAAAGTCCAAACAAGCTATAATAGTTAATGATATTGTGAATAACGAATTTGTGAATGTCATAGTGAATGACATAGAGAAAGTCCAAACAAGCTATAATAGTTAATGATATTGTGAATAATGAATTTGTGAATGTCATAGTGAATGACATAGAGAATGGTGACTCTCGATATTTGAATAAGGCAGGAAATTATACTCATGAAAATGACATAGAGAAGAATGAATATGTTGTGTCCATCCAGCCAAAAATGATATTAATCCTAGCGATTATTATTTATCGGAAACAAGCTCTCTAATTGAAGGAGAAATTGTAGTGGAGACAAATAATGCTTTGAATGATAATTTGGTTATTGAGAAAGAATTGGTTGCTGATATAAGGGAGAAATTTGATCCTGATCTTATGGTTATGGAAAAAAGTTGAAATAATTTGGTGAGAGATCCCTTATATGGTTTGAATTTGGATAATAATAATAACATTTAGGGTATGAAAATAATTCTTCTGAGCCACGTCAAGAGGAATTAACTTTGGTAAATAAAAAGAGTAAGGGAAGACATATACTTACTCAATCTAGAATGTAAATTAACACCTGAGTCATGCGAGGTAAACACAACACCAATCAATGAAAGCTATTTATTAGAATACTAGAGGAGTAGAAAACCATTATACTAGGTTGACTATTAAAAATATATGTGATCAACAAAAGCCTGGCTTGATTTTGATTGCTTAATCAATTATTTCTTATGCTCATTTCCCTGCTGAGTGTCTTAGACAAATTAGACTTAAGAGATTTGTATTATATTTTAGTCAGAATCATGATTCAAACCTATGGCCTTTTTGTGAAATAGATATGAATCCATGTGTGTTGATTTTGTTTGAACAACATGTAATTTTTTCTACAAAAGTGGATCAAACTAAATTCTTCTTTACAACTTTAAATGCAAGTATCTAACATGTGATTCAAAGACAGTTTACAATGAACTTGCTAGAACATGATTTGGTTATGCATCTGTATCTTTAAGTTTTGATGATAACAAGGTAGTATTTGTGTGAGAATAATTTTGGTACCCTAACAATTTGTTATTGTGTAACTCTAACAGACAGTTTTGATTATGATAATATGACGCGCAACGTCATCAGTTTCTGAACTTTGTGTTACAAATTTTGCTTCTGCGTTGGAAGACATTATGTTGCTGCTGCAACGCTCTCTCCGTTTCTGCTTCTGGAGTGACTTTAACCATCAAGCTTCTGAAGAATGACAAGCTTTTGGAGTTTATGTTTCTAGGTGAAGTTTTTGAAGATCTCAACTCAGACGCTGATATTGT